AGATGAAACTACATTATTACGCTACTGTAAACCTTCAGCTCAATTTACTTTCCAATAGTAAAAGCCACATCTCTCTACTGCTTGTCCACGTAACTCCAGAACGAAAAACCAGAAATGTAGTTCTCCACATTTTCATCACAGTTTTTTGAAGAAACATTTTCCAGGCAGCGGATGCATTTCAAAATCTTTAAAACAATTTTTTCTTCAATTTGAGATGTTCCCGAGCTCTCTAGAACATTTTATAACGGAGCTATGCTCAAAACAAAATGAGCAAAAAAGGTAACGCTATGACATCTCTGCCAGCGGAGTTACGTAGATAAGCCTCTAGCTCTTTGCTGTCAAAAGTTATTGGAGAAACAATGTACTGCCTTATATTATGAAATGGATAGTACATCAGAAATACGACGAAAGTTTTGAGACCTGACTACATAATGATATATTGACACTCTTATCGCTTTCGTCTTGGAAAGAAAAACGTTTAAACCAAACTAATAACTACATCAGAAAGATAAGAAGAGCTGAAGGTTTACAGTAGCGTAATAATGTAGTTTCATCTAAAGACCAATTTATATTTGTGCGATGAGAAGAAAAGGTAATTGACCCACGGTTTCCCTCTGTAGAAACGTTGCAAAACTGACTGAATCCGTGTTTTTTTAATACAGTAGGTTCTACTCAATGACCTTGTTGATCATGTGCGTGTTGTTGTTCTTTTCGTTTTTCGGACCATATTTACTAAAGGACTACAAAACACTTAAGTGCATGTATCGCTGCTTTTAAGATGATAATGTTTTTTCTTTCTTATCAAGTCAATTACGCCTGGTTTTTGTTAACGTAAGAATAACTGCGAGGTAGTCCAACTATATTGGATTCTAATAACGAATTCTAGCAAAAAAATCGAAACGAAAACCGCGCCGATCTAGTTTAGCCTGTTACGCCGTCCAAAACTCTTACGGTAAGCCGAGTTGACGGTAGTTGAGAGGCTAAATTAGATCAAAATTGAAAGCACCCGGAAGTCGAGTGGAAAGGGCCATAGTTGGATAGTATTGAGGAGCTGTCCTTCTTGCTGGAAACTCATTATTAGAATTCAGTGTAGTTGGACCACATTGCACTTATTATTACGTTGACAAACCAGGTGTAATTGACTTGATAAGAAAGAAAAAAAATTATTATCTTAAAAACATCGATACATGCACTTAAATGTTTTGCAAAGAAACGTGCCGTCGAATGAATTGAAATTCAAATGCTTATTTTTTCAGTTGTGAAAGTTTTCTTTCCTTTAAACTTGTTCATTTGACTAATGACATCAGAAGTAGACTGACGAAACATCTCAAATAAGAGTATATGGCTATTATATTTACAAAAAAGGTAGTATTTATCTTCCTATCATTATTGAAACGCACTAAAAAGAAACGAGAACGTGGAAATCGCATATGATAAAAACGCTGAAAGAACTATTCATGTAATATAGTAAATGAGCGATCATAATAAAATTGTTATACGTGCTCCGGTTTACACAATTTTGAATCATCATTTCAGTTAATAACACGATCCCAGTCAGTCACAGTCATTCCGAAAACTGCAGGAATCCAAAATTTACAAAAACTTTTACGCGTTTAACGAATTTGTGTCGCAAACACGCAAGAACGCTGCGAGTGTAGGGAAAATAACACGCAAGCCAAGCCTCTGTTTCCATGGCAACGTATTTTTTGGATTCCTGCAGTTTTCGGAATGACTATGACTGACTGGGTATACCCAGTGGCAATAGTCATCTCCCTATCAAATTGCAAAAGAACTTTTGATGAATTCATCAGTAAAAGATGTCTATAACCATTATGAAAAAATATTTCAATTATTTTGATCAAGATGCACAGATTATTTTTCACCTATTTCATTTCAACAGATGCTAAAGTGATGTGTTGGAAAAACGAATTGCTGTTGATTCGAGTAACGTGTTCCGTATTTGTACTTTCTTAACTTAATTTACATTTTTTGGTTTTTTTCGTACAAATTGCTATAGAAATTTCTCAGAAGAATGAGAGACGATAGAAGATTTCGCTTTTCTTTTGCGTCAAATCCTAAAAATTTGATGAGTGCCTTTAATTTAATGTTTTATTTTTAACTTCAAATGATTATCGACATAGTTGAATAAGTAAACTAGCCATAATGTAGTGAACAAAGTAAGCTGAGATATGATTTGATCTCGATGTTGTTGTTCTTGAAAATAAAGTCGTGGTGGTTGTAGTTGTAGCTGTGGAAGTTGTTGTTGTCGCTTGAGCGGGCAAACCGTAACCATCTCTGATTACATTCGCAACGTAAGTTACCATATCATGATCATTACATAAATTTCCATTACATGTATATGACATAATATCGGTGTTTATCGGAATTCCATGATCATGTAAGGCACGGCTTGAATCAACTATTAAAAATATATGATTTTTTGGAGAAGATCTTTCACAAGACTGTGAACTTATATATGATAAATTATTAAATGTTTGTACAATACATGTATCATTACACATTACAATCGAATTGTTTTTAGATCTATCTCCTTTGTAACACAAAATCGATTTATTTGATGATAAACTATGTTCAAGATACAGCTTTGGTAATAACGTGTTATAAATTTGTTCATAATTGTTAGAATAATTATAAACAAATTTTGGTAAAACTTCATTAATATAATCTAGATCACATCCATCCTTTGTTATACATTCATAACGTATGTTTGCATTAATATTTTTTATGTCATGAAATTCAAACAATATTAATTGATTTAGTGAAAATGACCAGTCAGCAGATGAATTAACTCTCGGTGCGAAGGTAACATTCATACGACGAGTGATGTAATCAAGTACAACTGCAATTTGACATTTAGATGTAGTGCTGTTGATTAAAATATCGTTGTTACATGTTGTTATTGTTGAGGTAAATGAGCCAGAATAATCATCAAATGATAAATTCATAGAATCACAATTTCCTGTACAACGAAGTGCTTGGATAATTTTCGATGAGAATAAAAAGCAAGAGAGTACTAGTAGTTTAAATGTCATCATTTTGTCGTTCAGAGAAGCTAAAGTTTGGTGAATTCAATCTTGAGTTAGTAAGAATAGTAAAGATTTATATAATATTTTTATCCAAAGAGCAGTTTCTAAAGAATAACTCAGTTTGCTTTTTATTTTATTGATATGGCAGGTGTTAAAAAGACGTAAACTTCAAAATAGTGAATAACAAAGTAAATAAGAGTAAGAAGAAGAGAACGAAATAGTATTTAGATATCAATACTATGTAGGCTGTAAACATGAGCGGCTCAAATGAGATTGTATGAAAATACGTCAATTTCTTTAAAAATACTAAAGATGCGAAATTTATCGTCTTAATGGTAAAATGAAACTTGAATCGATATGTAATCATATTAACAAAATCCTTGACAAAATTACGTTAAATGTCAAGGATGATAAAATGGTTATGCATTCGGACCATGTGTGATTTAAAAACAATTATCAACAGTCATCCATTATTGACGATAAGTACAATGTCTATCTTAAAATATATAAAACAAAGTGTTAAGTATTCTTTCGAATAAATATTCTAATAAACTCGACAATAAAATAGATCAAAGTGATCGTTTTATCAATCATTCCAAAGTACTTGAAATAAAATGAACAAATTCGAAACAGCGAATCAGAATTTAATTAAGGTGTTTCTTAATTTTATTATATTTGTATGCAAAAAAATGTTTAAATGTACCTTGAGAGTATTAACTCTTTGCTTATGCTTTGTCGGATGGAACCATTCGCAGGCGATTCACTCAATTTAACTACAACATAGATTTTTAGGCTCTATGTTAATTGCTGATTAAGGGTCTTCTCCCCACCCAGAAACCTATTTTGGTCCAGGAACATTCAATCTTGATGAAAATTTCAGACAATGTGTATCTTGAGGTAACTTAATCATTGTACTAATTGCAGCCTCTTATCACTTGTTTTCCCAGAGTTATCCCTAAATTAGTGGTGAAAAAGTATGGTTTTGTACTTCCAAGATTCCTCATTTTCTGAGCTAGAAATTTGAGGTTGGTTTCAAAAAATAGAGAAATGTTTTTTCTCTATTGTGACGCCGTTAGACTTTCCAATTTAAGTTTAGTTTAGGAAAATTTTAAAAAGTTCCCGAAATTGAATAAACTCTCTAACTTTTCGGAAACGTTTTAAATTTCTCCTAAACTAAACTTAAATCGCAAAGTCCAACGATGTCACAATATTAAAAAAACATTTCTCTATTTTCTGAAACCAACCCGAAACTTCTAGCTCGAAAAATGACTGAGATATCTTGGAAGTGCGAAACGTTGTAGTCATAAAAAGAGATTTTGAGATAAAACGCTGTGCATTAGTTGATCTAGTCTAGGACTTTTGGGAAAATGCCTGTAACTTTTTAACGCAACGTCGTACAGGGTTGTGTGACGTATTTTGATTAAAACCTCTGCTCTACATGCCTACCTATTTGGAAAGAAGTTTAATTGCATAAGTATCGAGTAAAAAAATATTATTTGAGGACCCTGTTTTCCGAGACTCCTAGAAAACTCGCTCGAAAACCATGAAAAACGATTTCTTGGCTGGAAGCAATACAGGCTATCTTTCCATGAGTTTTTCTCAAAATCGATTTTTTGTCTGAAAATCAACTTTTCTGAGTGGGAGAGGGGAAGGAAGCCCTTAACCTAATCAAAAAATCGTATATGGCAATATTTAGATATTTTATTGTGGTACTGGGCAATACCATGCCCAATATATCTGGATAACCCAATAAAAGTGACACTTGTACCTAGATATTTCATAGTAGGATTGCCCTATACCACAACAAGATTCACAGACACTTCCGTGCTGACTTTTTCTCGCAGAGACATTTCCGCGCAAAATGTTTTCAATCCAAAATTTGGGTTTTTAATTTCAAATATCTCGTTGCAGATTACTGATAAAATCTTTTTAGATAGAATCATCCAGCAGAGCTAAAAAAAATGATCAGACAGAGGGGTTTGACAGCGTTTGCAAACGAAATTAAATGAGATTTATGAAGGATGTTTAGGAAACCTGTGAAAGTTGGTATTGTGACGGTACATTGTGTATAGCTCAGTTAAAATATTGTTTTTGCTTCGGTTATTCTTCATTAGAAGCAACAATATTTATCGCTATCTCTAGAAGCGTTATGGAGGTTTAATCATGAAATTATATAGTGAGTTTGTAAAACTATAAATATTTATCAAACTTTCATCTGTTTTCTTTCAGCTAATTCTGCAAGTTCACGAAAAAGATCAGTATAATGATAGCCAAAGCTCCATGAAAGTTCTAAGTCATAAGCAAAACGATGCAACAGTCTTGTGCACCGTAGCCATTCATAGAGACTGTTAGAAATTAATGAAAAAAACTCATTTTGCGCGGAAGTGTCGGCGTAGTAGTCGGAGAGATGTCTCTGCGCGAAAAAGTTGACGCGAAAGTATCGGCACGAAAATGTCTTGTCACCCCACAATAAAATATCTAGATACTTCACAAGATTTCTTACTTGGATACGTGGTAAGTCTAATATCCAGAATCGGATAAGATATTGTATTATTTAGATATATCGACTACTTTATTGAGTTAACTAGCTTGGATTGTCTGATACTCAATACTGTCTTTTTACTTGTATCTATGTATATCGGGTATTGGATTGGATTACCTAGGTACGATTGCCCAATACTCGATACTTTTTATTTCTGATAGAATTTGTGAGTTGTGTTTCCTTCCTTTTTCTTTTTGATGTCGGGTTGGGCAAAAGTTTTTGCACAAAATATTTTTTCATTTTTCGGTCACCAAAAAGTCCATCTGGAAAATAAAACGGAGTACGTTACAACTAAAACTGTGTGCTCTTTTCAAATACGTGTTCACAATTTTTCTGCATCATGTAGTTCTGGATATGTAGATTTTAATAACGGTGATAAACTATCATTTTCCTAAAATCGGCTTTTTGACAAAAGTGATGCTTTATGTAGAAAGTAGTTCTCTGAAAAACTCACATAACTTTTAATTCTTCTGATCTTTAGACCACCGTAATATATCGTTTTGTAGAGAACTGATCACTGTACAACTATCTAGCGACAACGTTCTTAGTATGTAACCTGTAGAAATTATGAAGTGTTGAAAAATTCCTATTTTTCTCCGAGTCTCTTAAAAATCGACTCACAAAACATTTTTCAGTTGATTTTCATTTTTTGGTGAAAATCTTGATAATTTTTCGACGTAACAATTCGACAAAAACTAAAGTAGTCGGATAGAATACAGATACACATCAGTCGGCTCAGCTTTTCATCCTGATTCCGAATATGATATTTTTATATATGTAAATAGTGATATTTATGTAAATAGCGATGATTTTTAGATATTATTGTTCTTAGTTGAATTTAGTGTTCTAAGTCGGATAAAGAAGTTTTTGGCATTAGAGGCATGAGTCAACTCTAATCTTTCATATTGAAAGAATTTAACTAAATTTTGTTTTCTCTACCTCTCAAGGTCAAAATTCAACGTGCTATGACTTGTTTAGACATACACCGGTTTTAGCTCCAAAGGTAAGAATCGGATAAAAAAGATATGATCAAAACAAAATGTAGTTACAAATGGGCCTTTTTCTTTGAAAAGAAGCACTCCAAACGAATTCCGAGTCTTTGCACTCCCAGTGCTTTGTTTTTGCCTTGTCTCGCGCGAACATTCAATATTGGACTTTTGAAAATTTTCTTAAACGAAAAATAAGACATTTTTTAAAGTGCCCTCGTAAGTGCTATCCAAACAGCATGTACGATAAAAAAGTTTTTCCTGAGAGGACCTTCATGAGTATTAATTAACTTTGATATATTTTTGTATCTGTTTCGTTGTATGATCAAGGTACTAATTAGCAGTTTTCTCGTTGATGACTCTGTCAAAAGTAAAAATTAAGATGCGCAATCGATAGGGCGTGAAGAGTTCTATCTGGAACCATCAGTAATAGAGTTGGAGCCAGTGAAGAAACGAATCGCGACGGCATTTTCTCATATCTACGCTTGATGTCATATGATCAAGGTACTAATTAGCCATTTTCTCGTTGATGACTCTGTCAAATGGGAATAGTAAGATGTGCAATCGATCAAGCGTGAACATTTCTATCGGGAACCATCACTAATAGAGCTGGAGCCTGGGAGGGAACGAATCGCGACAGCATTTTCTCATATTTACCGTTGATGTCATATGATCAAGGTACTAATTAGCGATTTTCTGTTTGATGACTCTGTCAAAAGTGAAAAGTAAGATGTGCAATCGATAGCGCGTGAAGAGTTCTATCTGGAACCATCACTAATAGAGCTGGAGCCTGGGAGGGGACGAATCGCGACAGCATCTTCTCATGTTTACCGTTGATGTCATATGATCAGGGTACTAATTAGCGATTTTCTCGTTGATGACTCTGTCAAAACTGAAAAGTAAGATGTGCAATCGATAGAGCGTGAACAGTTCTATCCGGAACCATCACTAATAGAGTTGGAGCCAGTGAAGAAACGAATCGCGACAGCATTTTCTCATATTTACCGTTGATGTCTTATGATCAAGGTACTTATTAGGCATTTTCTCGCTGATGACTCTGTCGAAAGTGAAAAGTAAGATGTGCAATCGATAGAGGATGAGACGTTCTATCTGGAGCCATCAATTATAGAGTTGGAGCGAGTAAGAAAACGAATGGCGACAGCATTTTCTCATATTTACCGTTGATGTCATATGATCATGGTACTTATTAGCCATTTTCTCGCTGATGACTCTGTCGAAAGTGAAAAGTAAGATGTGCA